TGTATCGATATTGTTTTCCGTTAAAAGCTGTGGATAAGTCAGCTCACAAGGTTAAGTGGTATACGCAGACACTGAAGCAGCTAAGGAAAGATATGGTGAACGCAAAGAGCCAGTTTTCGCATAGCGGGGATGAGCGTGATTGGGAGAGGTATAAGGATATACGTAGAATATACCGTCAAAAATTGAAATTGGAAAAAAGGAACTTTTACTTGAAATGATACACCAGGCGGATAATAAAACTAAAGCAATCTGGAAGATAGTCGATAGCGAGAGAGGCATCAGGAAACAGAAACACACAAACGTCTCAAGTGATGAATTCAATAGTTTTTTCAGTACTATTTCTTGTAAAATTCTTGAGGGCATTGAAAAGCCTACTATTAATTACTTGTATCTCCTCAACCGTACTCCCAAGACACCACATTCGTTCTTCATGTCTGCGATACTCCAAACAGATGTGAGATGTGCTATAGCTCAACTAAAAAACTCACCCTCACTCGACTTCTATGGTATGAACAGTGCTATGTTGAAAATAGCCAGTGAGGATTTCATTGAACCTTTAACAATACTATTTAATAAGTGTGTTAATGAAGGCGTATGGCCTGATGCTTTTAAATTGTCAAAGGTCATTCCCATTCATAAGAAAGGGAATGAAGATAATCTCGATAACTATAGGCCAATCACAATAATTCCATTAATAAGTAAATTATTCGAAATTGTAATCAAAGAAAAATTAATAAAGTACTTTGAAAAGCACTCCCTCCTTTCAGCTTCCCAATTTGGTTTTCGAAAGCACTGTTCAACCATTAAAGCCATTCTTAGTTTTCTTGAGGATGCATTAGAGTGCATTGACAAGAGAACCACCGCTCTAGCAACTATGTGTGACTTAACCAAGGCTTTTGACTGTGTAGACGCAGTTATACTGCTTGACAAATTGGAGTACTATGGGATCCGTGGCAAGCCATCACAGCTTATGAGATCATACTTAGCTAATAGGAGACAGATGGTTAGCCTTGATGGAGTAGAATCCCAGGTTCTACCGATTACGAACGGGGTACCCCAGGGCTCTGTCTTGGGCCCTCTATTATTTTTAATCTACATCAATGACCTCCCACAAAATGTCAACAATAGCAAATGCTACCTTTTTGCAGACGACACTACTCTGCTCTCCAAGGCTACCCAACTTGACGAGGCCCACAGTCTCGACCAGGTTAAGTGGTGGTTCTCGCAAACAAGCTCAAACTTAATGAAGCAAAACCAGCAAGCTAAGAATAACATCAGACAAATGGAATGAGACTTCATCATCCGTAAAGTTATTAGGGATCGTTGTGGATAGCCGCTTGACCTGGTCGGAGCATGTGGACCAGGTTTGTACCAAGATTTCCAGACAGATGTTTATCATGC